TGTAATGTCAGTATGTACTAGGTATTCACTTCAGGGAAGACCAAACATCGCATGTTGGCAAAACACGCAGACCTTTTTGGGGTGAAAGGTTCCCTCCACTCTCAACGATCAAGAAAACCCACAACAGTCACGAAAAGCTTTTTCTATGTAAATTCTATTGTATGGCTACAAATATCTTTATCTCCTACTGCATGGGTAAGCATTTTCCTTTTTTATGTGTGTATATTTTCTATTTTCCATTTTTTTCTCATCAAGTTTTCCTCCCGTTTTTCCAAACGTGACTCTTTTTTCATTTTACGTTTTTTCATTGATTGACTGTCTATGGTTGACACGAAATATTAAGGATATGTAATGAGAAAATGTAAAAAATTGTTTGAAAAATATGGTTAAACAAATGAATTACTATACAAAGATGATTTTCGCTATTAGGAAAACCAAAAAGACTCCAGATTACTTTGTCTCACTTACTCCAGATTTGCAACGTGAAGGCACGAAATAGTGAGCGCGTATGCAGACAAGGTCGTATGCGCGCGAAATACGTTGGCAGCACTGGCTGTAAATCAGTTGGCCAGCTGTTGTACTGTTGTATCATTAAATGTAATATTAAAAGTTCACTTCTGTGTAAAAATATGTCACGTTTCTTTACCAATTTATTTGTTTTATGGTAACTGTAGGAAAAATATAGTGTGCAACTCGAGTGCAAAGTGCAATTACTTCACTCGATAAACCATTCCTCACGAGCCGTTTCTCTCGAGTGAGTCAATTGCTCCCTTTTCTCACTAGTTGCACAAATAACTATAAAACCATACTTTTTATAATGTTTGAATTAGCTTTTGCTCACTTTCTATTGAACATAATTAGGTTTCCAATCTCAGTTACAAGTTATGAATAAATTTTTGACAATCACCACAGTCTTATGTATGAGAAGAATCAAATTTGCTTCACTACACGTTGAATTTCAACCTTAATTTTACCATCATGTTGAAGGTTAGAAACCCGTTAAGTTTGAGTTTGTTATACAGATTTGCTATTTCAAGAAACCATATTGGTATTTTAAAAACGGATAGTTACTTATTGAAGATATCGCTTAAAATAAAATCTTTAGAAGCTGGATTTCATGTTTTTTGGTACAGCAATTTATATTATTAGCATAACTGATATGACAGTGTCCTAAGTTTTTTTAATAAGCCTTTTCATATTAGACACTGACATAAGAAATTTACATGAAGAAATATAATAAATAAGTTCTAGTCTCCTCTTTGAATCATGTTATAATATTATTTAAATTTACTCTTTATACTTAAAGGAACTTTTCATGAGACTTAAGAATACATTTCAAGTACTTAATATTTCACATAACCACTCTCCCTTCAAAGTGATATTTATATATTTTTTAAATTTTCGATATTTTAGTTTTCATTTACAATTTAACTTTTTTAAATGTTTAGTTAATGACAAAGCAGAGTTTTCCTATTCTCATTAACCTCCAAACATAAAATTCCACTTCAATCATTATTGAATTTGCACCGTCGTTTGCACGTTGGTTTAAACGTCCCCAAGGCAGTATATGACAGGTAATCTGTTGCCGCCATTCTGTGGTTTGCGATAAGCTCTAGACTAGAGCATGCTGGGTAATTATATAGTCAAATTATGTCACAATGATTTATGATTTGTACTTCATTTTAAATATTTTTTCAGTAAATGTACAATATTGGGTTTCGTAACTTTGTTAGTATTGGCTACTTCGTAATTGTTTTCTGTGAATAAATGTATTCAGTAGGTTATTTGTTATTTAAATGATCATTTTACCGTGATATTTTGTAGAGAGGTCTTTTTGTTGCATTATAAACAAATTGTTGCTGGGACCACAATGCTTAAGGTACATAAAAAGTAAAAATAGAAAATCAGGGAGGCAAATCTTCAAAAAATGTCTAGTAATATCTCCGTTTGCTATGGATAAAATATAGCATAAAATGGAAGCTACCCGATAGTGTTCAAACTCCAAAATATTGGTTTGGGGAAAAATAAAAACCGTTATAAAAATTCATATTTATATCAAAATTGTTATTATTTTGGAAAATTATGATAGTCTAAGAAGTTCAGTAGATAAATAATAAATAAATACACAAGACTAGCATTTTTCCTACGCAGAATAGCAGTTTTTTACCTGAAGAATCATCTCAACTTTGCCAATTTCGTAACATTTCCAAGTAAAATTACAAGTGGAGAATGCAATTATTGTAAAAGCTGCCTCTTCTCCGTCAGACGCCTCTTGCTTGATGTTTGTCCAATCTCTTGCAAAGAGGATTAAATATATATTTCGTATTTTATTTTTATTCTTCTCTAACATCGCCAACAATGGCTAGCCCCCTGGTGGCGAATTTCAGTTGAATCTTTCCTTAAGTGTATTGTTGAAAAATATACAGTGCTGGTTTCAAGGGTGAAATGTTTTTTTTTTTATCACAGTACCTATTGTCTTTATTTTATTGTTTTCGTATCTATTGTAAAAACTTGAATTGTGTTCTTGCAATTGTATGGTGATATTTGTAAACTTTTCAATTCGATATTTTATTTTCGATATATTTTTCGATTTGTAATCGTTTTCAGTATTTATATTAATAATAACTTATCACCTTACTGGTCATTTCTTTTTGCAAGTAACTATGTGTTAAAAAAGCTACAAAATAGTACTAAAGACTATTACAAATATTTTAGCTATTATATTGTATGTAGACCAATTTATTTGAATTGTTCATTTAAATTCACCTATACTGTGAATTACACTGTATTTAAAAATACTAAAAAATTACAAAAATCCTTTTAATGATTTAAATTACCAAAAATTAGGAATAGAGCATTTGTGCAACTAGTAATAAACTACACAAAACACAAATTACTATACAAATAGTTTATGTGTTCTAATTGGGGATCAAAATCATCCGGAACATCCAGTGATATTCTATGGGTCATTTAGGTAGCTCTTAAAAAAAATTAAGGATGTATTCTGCATTGTAAAATATTAAAAAACTTTTCAACCGTAGTATGTGTCATACTATAATTTGATATCAAAATATATGTCCGGATTATTCAAAGTCCTACTTCATTGGAAGGATTCACCTTGCAGTTTCTTATACAAATGTCGAACAGTTTCGTCATATGTTTTGACCACGCTCGTGGCATTCCTAGCAATAAAACTTAGCATTGACTAAATCTGTCTTACAAGGGCTAAAAATATCGCATTATTCATTCGAATGATGTAATCGCCACCGAATATATCAGCTGTGTTATTGAACGGAGATCATAGTGATAGTGTGACAGTGTAGTGCCTTCTTCATGAACAGCGGTTGTACTGTTGTGAGTGTTATTTTATTTATTTTCTTTATTCATAACTTTTTGTTTAGTTATATTAGTTTGTTATTTCGTGTTTTTTTTTCGTTCTGGTGCTTTTGGGGTGATCCTAGATGGTCTTTATATTCCAATTTAAAAGAAAAGTGTCCAGTTTCCAGTTCCAAATAGTTTTTCGTTGAAGTACGTAGTTTTCTTCAAATTGTTATTCATGATGTGTATTTTCTTGGTGTAATATGTAAGCTGTAATGGCATTGTTCACAGTTTTAGCTTGAATTGAAAGATTCTGTGATAATTTACTATCTATAAAGCTACGTTAAGTGACAAATCATGTTGTGAATTGTGTTTAATGAATCGTATAAAAGAAATGTTTTAAAATATGTTTACATTTATTTTTATTTCGATACAAAGGTATCTCAAGAACGGATTTAGTTATCAAATCTATGTTCCATAGTTTGTTTTTTATGTCAAACATATCAACAAAATTCTTCTCAATTCAAAATTCCCTCTTGTCACAGTTAATTCATCTTTTACGCAGTGGTATATCGAAGTTCCTAGAAAATGAACTTTATTGTGGTATCGTATTAAGTCTACTGTACGACGGGGGAGACCTTTTGTATGTTGTATAAAGTAACTGCAATTCAATGGAAAAATATAAATAGTTTATTGATTTATTTCTATTTATAACTGCATTGAAGACTCGTTCTAGTTCCAACTGATTTTTTTTAACTGCTACAATGAAAACACAATGCCGGGGATTTATTTTACTAATTCAAAGTTTTATTGTCCGAGCATTATTTTATTTGGAATAGGAAATGAGCAGCCTGGTTGCTATGGCAACATTATACTTAGTAATCCCGGTTGCTATGGTAACGTGTATATTGAGATTTCAAATAGAATTAACTGGGGATATTGGGTATATTGTTATGATGAGAATATAATGTGAAGCTTTGTTTGATGGAAATAGACTTTGTTACATACAATATTAACGGCACTTGCTTATTTATAGTGTAACACGCTGTTAAAACTTACGTTCGAACTACTGTATACTGTATAAGTTATAAAATTAGTTATCATGGGGAACTTTTTTTAGAAGGAGGTTGGTGGCCTCTTTAAAACTATTGTCCGTCCTATGGGTCTCAAAGTTTTTTGCGTGTGTCCTATAAGTCAAAGCAATGTACCTTGCCTGCAAGTCCTGTTACAATACCAGAAATTATTGGTTTCGTGTTTTTAATTGTGTAACCAGATAATAATTTAAGATAGCTACATTGTTTTGAAGTCCTTCGTTTGATCGACTGGGCAAACATTTCGCCCATTTTACCCTCGCCCGCATTTTTTAAGAAACATATTCTACACACTTAATATTTAAGAATACCACTAATTTTCGTAACGAAATGAAATATCATGAATATTTTGAAAAGTGTATGCTATACAGTTGCAAAACCATGTTCCGAAATCTATAGACGTTGTTAGTTTTTATGTTGGGTAAAAACATACTGTGACACAAAACATCAGCACACTCGCATGAAACACGCATCAAAACACGTTTCAAAATTTATTACACGATTAAAAGTGTTTTTGTACTATCATAATGATTTGATGATGATTGTATTATGATCTTTAATGATTATTTGACTAATTGTTTTTTTTTTCAGTCGCAGCGGAAGACATGCTGCAACATGACGTCAGACAATGATGGACAAGGTAAATATATTTTACTATTATTTATTTTATTTTAATTTTACACGACCGTGAACGAATTTGGACACAGCCACCATGAATTTGGATGATGATTGGATGATCTTGATTTGGATCATGAATATTTAGACATCAAGGTTTACCCTTAAGCTAGTTTGTTGGGTGATTCAAAATTTCTTGTTAAGTGTGTATTTTTTTTATTTTTAGAAAAGTGCTCTCTTGTAGAATGGTCTATCGTTTTGTCAGTTGGTGCACTGGTATTGCAAGGTTAAGGAATTTCTTCTGAATGAATGGAATGTCTCACTATCTAAATATGCAATGATATAAAACTGAGAAACCAGTAGGAAGGGAAATTACAGGCTTTAAGGTTGGTAATAATTAGAGGATTCTACGTTGAATACAACTTGATTACTTCAAGGAGAAACCTCTAGGTCAAGACCAAACATGAGATTTGAATTTACTTTTGTCAATTTTCTATTTTCTGATGTTTAAGGATTTGAGCTATTGGTAAACTTCTCAAGTGATCGTGTTTATATTTTATTTATAAGCTACTCATAAAAGCCTATAACGTAAATAAAACTTTTCAGTTCGTATTGCAAATGAAGTTAGTGATTTTAGATATTTGGGTGGTTACAATTTTAAACGTTATACAGTAGTTTTGGACTCTATGATGTCATTTAGTTTTGTTTTATTTTTTTCTTAGATCTAACAATTATTCTAATTAGTGAGTCTATTACATTAACAACCTCATTCAAACTAGTATTTATTAATACTAGAGGTCGTCCAGTGGTCGAAAACTCGACCATAAAAATCGAATGTACAGACTTTTCTGTTTTCACCCCACGCTTTAAATAAAACATGTGTTTGGAATTTCTTCCATTTGTTTTGATTTTCTGTTTATATTTCGTTGTTATTTCGTTACCAGCATGGCAACCTATAAAGCCCATGTTAATTTTTTAAAATTTAAAACTCATTTTTTGTGCTTATATTTGAGCCTATTTGAATTTTTAAAGGGACTCTGCTCTTCTACAGGAAAATATCTTTCTAACGGTATGCGCAGATTTTCCCTGCGATGCACACGAGCTGAGAAAAAGGGTTTTAAAGAAACATGCTTGCCTATTAATATATAGATAGATCAATTTAACCCACTTAATATTCCGTTTATATGCTTAGAGAAGGTTACTCGTATATCAACGTCTTCTAAAATCTGAGGTTTCTCCTTAGTGACTGTACTGTCTTTAAATACCATATTTAATTGTAATATTTATCAGCTGACTTTTTGTTTGTTTTTGTTTATGTGATGAGTTTTTGGAAATTGGTATTAAAACGGGGTTGATCTTATCTTGGTTTTATTTTATCTTCAAACAACTTACAATGGCGACGAGGATGAGGAAGAACGGTAGAAAACATCAGGAACTAGAAAGTCACCAGCTTTACAGCAAATATAACTTTAAAAACCACGATGTATACTCCACTCCAAATAGAGCTAGCTCTGCCACCAATAGTAGATCTCAGCTGTGCTCAAAGAACAGCTATAAATCGTCAAATTGTACTTCTGAGGACTCTATGGAGGAGGTCAACAGCATGCAAGTTGCCAGTATTAATCCAAGGGAATGTGAGGAGAAGTTCAGCAAAGCTGTGGTAACCAAAGCACATCTGGACAGTGTGAAGAAGGCTAGAGTAGAGTACCAGAGTGATATTTCCAAGGAAAAATACAAGGATTTTCAAGTGTTGAAAGAACACAAGGATGCCAAACCTCTGAAGAAAGTTCAAGAACAACTAGGTGAAGAGCAGAAAACTCTAGAAGAACTAGAAGGTGTCCTACAACATAAATATGGGTCTGTAGATATTCGATTGAAGCGAGTCCTAGAAGAATGTAATGGGTTGTTGGATGAGCTACGAGGACTCAAGTTAGAGTTAATGAAAGGGAGAGCTGCATGAGTTCTACACTGATGACAGGGACGATATACAACAAAATAATTAATAGAGCTCAGGTTAATTTTAAGGGGGAAGTGTTGTACTGTCTTTAAATACCATATTTAATTGTAATATTTATCAGCTGACTTTTTGTTTGTTTTTGTTTATGTGATGAGTTTTTGGAAATTGGTATTAAAACGGGGTTGATCTTATCTTGGTTTTATTTTATCTTCAAACAACTTACAGTGACCAATAGTAAGAAATTGAGAAGAATTTATTATATTTGCAACCTCCGATCAAAATGTTGTTTTGATAAAATAATGGGGATCCTTACATTTTGAGATTGTGACTTATTGTCGTAATAAAATAATGAGGTTCTTAACCTAGTTTTAATTTTTTACAATGCACCGAAATGTAATAATGCTACGATAAATATGTCAACTATGTGAATAGGTTGTCAAGTCCTAAGTAGAGATAGTAAATTTTAAACTTGGTAAACCCAGGCTTAGTCGTAAAACTTTAATGGACGTAATGAGTTAGGGGTGTTCTATAAAACCCACTGTTGCATCTAGGAAACTTTTTTCTTCTAATCATTCTTCGTTATAGTTGTCAAAATTGAATTCAGCCATCCTGATTTATACACTTTTTCCGGTTTTAGGGTATTTTAAAGTATTAATTAGTACCTATCTCCTCTTAAATGTTCTACTTAACATATTATATTTATAGTTTTTAATAGTGATTGTCTAATAAACTGACTATGCCTGTGTAAAAATTTTTTAAATTGTTGATGTTTTGAGACTTGACCCAGCTACCCTTAACCAATGGCTTTTAGTGGTTCTTGATAAAATAATCAGCTGATATGTCTTTGAGAACATAATAATGCAATTTATCTTAACAAACCAACCCATACCATTTACATCTTGCAATCTTACTCGGTTTAAAATACATTTTATTTTGCGTCCCCATCGTATAACAATAATATATGTGCCTATAATATATATAGCCCTATACAGGGCTAAAGCGACACATTGAACTTACAGTTTTAAATTATGCATAAAATTAAACTACAATCCATACATCACTCCTTGGATGTCGCTTCCGATAGTTACCGTTGTTCGACGATTCTATACTCATCTGCCATCTCATAACGCATAATAGTTTATTTTGTGTATGTTTTTTGTCGAGTAATACTGTAGATAAATGAATGATGATGCGTGATGGCAGTTCTGTGCTTGTACCTTTAGTTTAAGACCAAAATTATAAAAATCTGTTGGTTAGAAAATCCTAACTGACTCGGAAATGAAAAACATAGCCCAATAACAAATAGAATCATGGTTCAGAATTAGTATTTCACTTTATACAACATTATTAATCTATACTTATTTAATACGCAAGCAGGTTTTTTGTGACAATTACTCCTCCGAAACTACTGAACCGATTGACATGATTTTGGCGTCATTGGAAAGAGCGTATCGTGAAGTTGTGCAGGAAACTTTCTTTTTAGGGAAATAATTAGAGAGTGACGCCCTGGGGTCCTTTAAAGTTTTATATTTTTCCATAAGATTAACATGGGAAACAAAAATTGTTATGCAGCTCCAGCTGTTGTCAGAAATTAAAAATGAGAAAAGAACATAAGTTAATTGTACAGTCAATAAGTTTTCTAATTTAACAGTTTGCTACAAACATTTACAGACTTGGTTAAAATAAATTATGATTACTATTTGAATTTGGGTTGGCGTAAATATTACGATGGAAAAAAGCGAGAGAGTCTGGATGGTTTGATATACTAAAACGAAAACTAAATTAACACTGTGCTGCATGTCTTAGTAATCATTGAAATAGCCGATTTGCAAACTGGAAACATAGGAAAGTAATAGAACACCACCAAGGAAAAGAAATAGAAATAATGCGTAGAATCTTTTAAAGTCATCAGAAATGTTTGACTATCATTCATTTTAAAATAACGCCTGTAGGCCTAATACTTAGCAATTGCTCGAATTCGAGCAACAGGGACACTAGTAATTATAATTTTCCACATTCACTTAACGAACTGAAATCCCCCAAAAACTACGAGAAAAACTGTTATGGAATAACACAAAACCGTAACATTTTCCGAACTGTGTTCAGCTCAGCACTCGTAGAGTGATAGCTCTTTCAAGACGAGTACGCAATCAAGTCGTATTCACTCTATACGGCAATTTCAGTCATTATACTCGCGTAGACCTATCACAGCGACGCCTTCATACTCCCAGCTGTACTTGACAACATTGTAAATGTATCTCTGTGGAAATCTTTATGAATTTTTTTGTCCTAGGACGCTAGGCACGAGCCTGGGATTGTTTTTCACATTACTTCAGGCTAGACCTAGGGGTTGCGGCATTATCACTTAGATCAAATCCATTGGTGACTTGGTGGGGATCGAACCCGGGACCTCAAGGACTGAAGTCCCGCGCTCTAACCACTACGCCAGCTCGCTCCCCTAATCTTTATGTATTGATGACATATTATGAACTATTTAGTGTACAACGTACCATAATGTTTATTAGGAACACGAACTTTTTGCAAAACATAAATTTGACCTTGCATTGTTCGTGATACTAAAATATAAGTCTTGACAAAATGTAGGTTTTTCTGTAACCCTCCCCTAAAAGCGTGAACCATAATAGGGGTTCGTGCCCTTAGGGTCGTATTCAATTGAGTTTCAAACATTGAAAATACACCTGTAGTATTTGTTTATATAATTGTTTCATTTCGTCTGGGTTAACATTTTTATTGTTACCACGCGTGTTATATTTTTAAATTTATGCTAAGTTGCTAGTTTCGATTCTATCAATAGCAGATTCCAATATACAGGGTGATTTGTACTCAGTGTGACAAAATGTTTATGGTGTAAGTACAAAGTAAATGGAGTGTGATGATGCATATCAAATGTTCCAAGTCTAAAAATTAGCTTCACAATTTTTTTTTTTTAATAACCATGCATTTAAACTTAATACAGCGATTTCTCAATTACCTGTATACGGATTTGAGTAAATAAAGTCATTTTCGTGTTCTACATTAAATTTTGAACAAGAATAACAGAAAATAAC